TTTTTTTGGTTTTTTTGTTTTTTTTGATCCTCTGCAGACTTCTTTATTTCCCTAGGAGTCTCAGAAAATTGGTTTTTTTGGTTTTTTTGGTCCTCTGCAGACTTCTCTATTTTCTTGAGTGTTGTTTTCTCCTTGGGAGAAATGCACTTATCAACGCATCTGGAACTCCTGACAGGTCATCCTCTTATCTGCTGCATTCTGAACCTCTACATCTCATCTCCTTGGAACGTCAGAATTGAATATGCAACTTCTAAGCAATGTTTCACAAAAGATCTTCATTTGCTGGCTTCTGTCATTGAAGGTATTTTTCATGCATGTCCCTGCAGTAGTTGATGTCACTTCCATGTCATTTGATTCTTCCACTGCTAGATTTTGCTCTCAAATCTGATTTGCTCTCATCCGCTTCCTGACGTCTTCTTTGTGCTCATTGTCACCTACCATGGCACTTCAGCTTGGTGCAGGGGATGGTTTCAACAGAGACCTTGGAGACCAAGACGGGAAACTCACATTTGCCGAAGCAGTAGTCCAAGTCAATGGCCAAAAGCTTATTGGTCCCGAACGCAGGCCTTTGAAGTCTGATCGTCCTGTGGGCGATGTGACGATCGGTGACTTGCCTCTTCGCAACATGGACAGTATGGGCCACAAAGTCGAACAGTATGCTGATGTGATTGTCAATCACAAGCTCAATGTGACGCAGGACTTTTTGGACAACACTCTCTACCGACTGTGTGCGCAGGAGAAGTACAGTGAACTTCCACCTCCGTTCAACATGAAAGAAGAGCCGAAAGTCCCCTATAGCATGCAGATAGTCATCTTGCCAGCCGCTGATCCTCCTAATCCTGATGAGAAGTTTGTGGACATCTTCAAGCACATCTACTTGCATAAGAATAAAGTCTTCTCCAAGGATTGCATGAATTCTTGTCATGGTCATCCTTTCCGTTTCGATTGGGGCCAGCAGGTGCGTTTAGGCCTGTCTGCTTTCAATTATATGCTTGATCGCATGGGTGGGATGCAATTGCGCCTTTGGATCATCAAACCAAAGTTCGAGAAGAAGATGACCATTGATCAGCAAGCCCGTGAGAATGGCTATCGCTTCATTCGTGATCATGGACCACGCTCCAACAACCGGAACCAATTTATGGAATGGACCGATGAACAAGTACATCAACCCGGGGGGTCCTCTTGAAGGTTGGAATGAGGGGAAGGTTACCACGGCTTTGCTGAACTACTACAAAGGTAGACAAAATGCCAAAACCATTGAGTATTGGCCTTTTACTTTGAAGAGCTTTGTTCCTTGGTTCCTTGACGACATCCTCGTGCACATGTTGCCAAGCATGCGGCAGCATTCTATCACATGGATTGGCCGCACAAGGGTTGGCAAATCTTTGGGCTCCAAGACAGTCCTCTTTGCTCAGTCGAGGTTTGAAATTGAGCAAGCTGGACGCACAGATCTTGTCCCGGGCATCGTCACAGCGAAGCATTTGGACTTCTTCAAAGCGGAGCCGATCACCAAATTCAAGCCGGGCGTCTTTGATGATGGTCTGCTTCAGAAAATGGATGCCTCATTCCTCAAAGCGTTCCTCAACCCGTCTGCTCCTCGCCGACAGAGATATGTTTGTGGTTATCTTTTTACGTTTCACTTGTGTATCTCTATGTCAAAATAATTCAAAATATAATTACACTTGGGGTAACTGTATCTGTACAAACAAATACATAGTTTTCGAAAGTTTTATCAATATATTGATGTTTCTAGATGCAGATTTACATCTTTGCCTCAGGAAGAGGATGCTACCGTCTGGGCCAGATATTCATCTGCGCAATTTGACCAAGGAGCCGGTCGGCATGCTTGCAACAATCCGTACAACATGCAGATTGAAGAAGACTTGGTGAAGGGCATGCAAGCCTCAGGAAAGCAGAAGATAGAGCACAAAGACTTCCTCGACCTTGTCGCTCCTTCTTTTGCTGGCGTTGAGGACAAGGCAGATTTGGCCGCTATCCTAGCCAGAACGCACCTTATAGTCTTGACCGATCACGGTGTGTATTGGCGCCTTGCTAGCACAGGTGCGACAAGCGTGCCTTTCATCCCATGGCCTAACCCTGAGGCGAAAGATTTGCTCGCAGAAGCTGAACGGCCAATCTTTAGGGCGTACAAACGCAATCCGCAGGCCCATGAACTCCCAGAGTCTTTTCATGCTGATTCAATTTGGTCCCAAGAACTTCTTGCCCGCTTGCTTCGCGGAGAACAGGTCCCACGCACCATCACCATTCGCGGTCGTGGATTGTTTGGTGGTGAGCTAGTTGAGACCCAACAAGCACCGCGTTTGCTGCCTCCGGATGAGATGAGCATGAAGATCAAGCAGGAAAAAGTGGATTCCAAATTCAAGGAGCTCAAAAGCCAGCGCATTGACACCATCGAGCTGGATACGCCTTCTCCATCGCCTGCCAAAAGGTCTCGCGTCAACAATTCCAGTCTTAGTTCATCAGCCATGCCAGCTGACCCGCCACAGAATCCGGATTTCCCTGGTATTGGAGAATCAGATGGACTAGATGAGCTTGATGATGAATTGCAGAACGCACTGGAGTTTGAGGGTGGTCATGGATCTTTAGATGGCTTTGAGAATGCTTGTCTTGTTGTGGCCTTGCAGAACCTTGGGTGTCCTGTTGCTTGTCCTCGAGATGGTCCTTTTACAGCTCTTGATGGGTGTGTCATGCTTCGTCCACTCGGTGCCAGCCTTCAGATCATCCCCCGAAACATGTCGCTGACGCAAGGCAAATATGTTGTTCTTGACATTCAGGCTTCACATTTCTTTGCTTTGCAGCACATAGAAGGTTTTGCGATTAAAATGGATGGTGACGACAAGGTGGAAGTATCCATCGGCATGCTATCCTCTATGATGTTGAATCCACGGTACTATTTCTTCAAGGTTGTCCTGGGCATCCCTTCCTCTTCAACTTTGCTTCAGGTGCCGTATTCCATTTCTGGAGGAGCCTTAGCTCGGAAAGTGTATTCGACCCAACTCACCAAATGCCCTTGTGGACACCGTTCCTTTTCCAAAGGGCATGATGTGGCAGCTGTGGTGTACACCTTGGCAGGTCCATGTGAAACGACTGTACGCACCATGCGTTGCAATGCCTATGGGTGCCGCACAACTTTTGGACCTAACTTCCTGCTGGATGATGGAAAGAAGATCAGCACAGCCACTTTGGAGAATGTCCCGGATGTTCTGTTTGTGAACAACAAGCTTGGCTTCTCCTTGGATTATTTGAAATATCATTCAGCCTTGGAATTTCGAGGCTTCTTGGCCGCTCGAGCCATAGAGGCTGCTTACAAATCAGTTTTTGACCATGAGCACAGTGAAGTTCGCTTCCGTGCAATGCACGCAGACTGTGTCATGTACTGGCTGGCTTTGCAGGAGCTCTCATTGATTGGGTGCGAGAAAGACATTGTCATTGGAGATGAAATCTCAGAGGCTGCGCTCCGCAAGTATGATGACTATGTGCACAAGGTTGCTTTCCCACCCAAAAAGAGGGCATCAGTGACTGAACTTGTCGGAGATGGTCACTCGAAGGTCCACATCAAATGTGGCGAAACTACCACACATGCAGGACGACCTCGGAAAGACGGTTCTTTGAAACCCTTTGGGCATGGATGGTTCATGCTAGTCAACCCGCAGGATCAACGAATTCTTTGTGTGGTTGCCATGGACAAGCCGGAGAACAACCCAGTGGTCCAGAAGTCGTTGGAGAAAGTCTTGCCTCTGTACCAGAAAGTCAATGGATTCATCATGGACCGTGTCTGTGGTTTCGCACCGACTCATGCAAGTAAGAAGTCCCTCTCCCAAATCAAATATTGGAGCCTTGACAAGTTCCACGCCCACAGGCACAAGAAGACTTGCGTGTACAATCCACTCTACGTCAAGCGTTTGTCTCGGCGATTTGCGAAGACAAATACGTCGGCTTGCGAACAAGTTTTCTCTTGGCTTCGCAATTATGCACGGATTTTGAATGAGGCACGTGCAATTCGCCACACTTTTAAGGTGCTGTACTTTTCCAAATTGCACAACCAAGCTGTGGCTGAAAACAAGGCCAGCTACTTGAACAAGTTCAAGAAAGCTGTGTCTAAGGTAAGCAAAGCATATGCTTGCTAGAACTAGATTTTGGAACAGAACTAGCGCGGAAAAATGAGATGTCTTAGCGCCAACTCCTTGCTTGCATTGTCTGCAGCAGATGATTTGACTGTGGTAGTATCCTTATGCATTCTTCCAAAAATCATCTTCTTTACTGTCATGCTGGCTCTGACAAAAGAAAGTAGAAACACATCTTGCAACTGCATCATCTGCTTCCAATCATCTGGAAATGCCTCACATCTGTACATTAACAAACAATAAGCTAGAAATCATTAAAAAACCTATGAATTAAAAACCCACCCCCCAGCGCAATCCGCTCTCTATAATTTAGTGTCAAAGCATCGTTTTGACAGCAAAAAGGCAGTAACTTGTCGCTGCAAATTCACTGTAAAGAGATGGTTTTGTGACATCTCTCCCGGTTCTGTCCGAGGGTCCAAAAAAAAAGACATGCCAAGTTTAGATGTGCACGGGTGCTTTTCACCCCTAATATCCCCTAATGCTGATGTGTGAGTTTCCAAATATGCATTCCATCTTTCAGTTAAATATGCATTCCATCTTTCAGTTCACAAATATAGGTGTTCTCTTGATCGGCAACCTGCCGCTACCTTTCAGATCCTTTCAGCAAGACAGAACGATCATCACCTTCAGTTTGAGTCTATGCAGGGCCCAGTGCCCAAACCATCGCACTTTAAGGGCGGCCGAAGGGCGTGAATAGAAAAAAGATGAAGCAAAAAAAACACACAAAAAAACAACATCTCTCATCTGATCGTCTGCTCTCTCTGTCCGACAGAACACTTCCATTTCCTCGAAGGTGGTGGCCGCCAGGGCTGCGAAGACATCCCGGCGCCCCAGGACGCCGTCGCCGCCCACGTCCAGGAGGCCAAAGGCGATGCGCAAACGCTTCTCCGGTGTGGCCGTGACCTGCAGACAGTCGTGACAGTGATTTGGAATGATTCACGGATATTCGAAGGTGTGGAATGGTGGAATCCCGCAGGGCCTACCTGCTCTACACCAGAGAGCATGAAGGAAAGAGAGACAAAAAGCACTAACCACTGTAAATCATGGTAGTCTACAAAAATCATATGACACATAATGTGCATATATAGATAGATCGGATAGATAGATATATATATATATAGAGATAGAATATGATAGAATAGAACAGAACACTGTAGACAGAATAGCATTGATTATATAGTTTAGATAGATAGATCCATAATTACTATGTGCATGTGTGTGTGTCCCGCTCGCAGGCTCTAAGGTCGCTGCCAGCAAGCCAATTCGCTCCTCGTACAGCTTGTACCGGATCTTCCCTGTGACGCAATGGAAGAGGCGACCCAAGAGAGCCGTTGTAGTTGCAAGCTACTAGGAACAGGGGCATCGCTACTAGGAGCAAAGGGCATCGCTACTAGGGGGCATCGCTACTAGGAGCAAGGACGCTACTAGGAGCAAGGACACTACTAGGGGCGCTCCTGGCCTTACTACTAGTAACAAGAAGCTACTAGAAACAAAGGGCATCGCTACTAGTAACACCAAAGTAAGAACCGGAACACTTTCCAGGGCACACCAACTCTGCCAACAACCCTGATGTACTGAATACTGCCTCCCCTTGCGTCCCTGCCTTTCAAAGCCTTAAGACCAAAATACACGCCCAAGCGCTGCACATGGGCCTCGCTGGGCATGACACGTGACAGGAGGACAGCTTGGTCCTGAACTCAACTTCAGTGTGAGTTTCCTTTCAATCTCCTTTAGCCGCCTTTAGCCATCTGGCCATCGCCATGCTATGACAAAACCTGTGCCTCTGCCAATGCAAGAAGTAATAGAAAAGTAAAGAGAAATGCGATAGCCATCTCCTAAATTCCTAAATGTCAACGGGCATCGGCATTTGCACTTAATTTGGTCATCTGCACATGGTAATTACTAATTACATCTAAATACTAGGCGTCGGCACGTCAAGGAGTCATCGCAGGGCAGACTTCAAAATACAAAATTGAAGCGATGCGTTCCGACATGGTGTGGGCTGTTGCGTCGGTGGGACGAGGTGTGCCCCTTCGTTCAGCCAAGTAGCATTGGAAAGGCGACCACGAAGGCTTTTGGCAACCTGTCCCGAGAGCAACGTACAACACTCACAAAACTACACCCGCCTCGTGTGCCAATTAATCTGAGAGAACTCGAGCAGCATCCACCATGGCAACAAGTTTGGCTTCTCTGTTCTGAATAGAGCAATTGATTGAATCCCCACATCACGTCAGAACGTGTTTGTTCCAATGCAATTACTGTCCTAGAGTTATCGGGTCGAGTCAAATCCAAATTGATATTGAAAGAAAAACAAGTTGCCGGCATGACTGGGTCTGACTGTGGAGAAGCAACACTCACCTCGCTCCAGGAGATCATTGCACCCGAAGTGCCCCTGACGAAACCAAGTCATTGTCGGAATCAATCTCACAAGAGGAAAGCCTAGCGACCTGCACCCATGCAGAAATACAACTTGATTTACGTGTCTGTAGTGCTGAAAGAATCTAAAACATTATACGGCATATATATATATACACTATATAAATACATCTATACTGTATCACTGTACTTGTTGTCATTTGCTTTTTGCCTTGTTTGCAACTGAGCAAAGCCGCACAAACTTCAATAGGAGCCTAGCACAGTCCAGCATCTAACTTACATCCTTCAACGACAAGGCATGATGGCATGGTTAGAAAATATCGCCTGGCTACGCCCTGGCCTCATTTCCTCCTCCGGCTTTGAAGCATCACGGCCTTCCTAGCATAACTGGTTCTGGTTCTTCTGATCGTCTCTGCATAGAGAACTACCCGGGATTTTGTTCGGATATCTATATATGGATATCTCGTATTCTGTGAGCTCAATCATTCAGGTGTAGGTGCTCAAGGTCTTGAGATGTTGCAACATCAACATGCCCCTGTGATCCCCTGTGCTGTGTGCAAAGCAACCAAGCACACGTTGACGTGACGCGTAGCAGAGAACAGCGCAACAAATCGCTGGAAATCCGGTGGCCTTCCCTCTCTGCTCTGCACGTTCAGCCACACCCGAGCTCTTCACCATCTCTCGAAAGACCCCCATGATGCTGCGCTGCTCAGCGCCTGAGTCAGGCGTCAGGTTTTCAGATGCTCAGTGATGTTCAGTGCTGTCAACTCAGTGTAGACTTGCGGCCGGGGGTTGGTGACGAAAGCTAGCATGGCTTAGAAACGGGATGTGGCGAGAGGTATCGGAGAGCGCAATTTTGCGTTTGTTTATGGAATGTCTCTGGTTGCCGTGCGTTGACCTGCAGTCAAATGACCTAGTGGATTGTCCTCTCCGATGCCTTGATCAGACGTGGGGGACGGGGAGTTGAACCCGCCAGGAGGTGGAGCGGGGCGTCTACGCATGAAAAAATCACTGGGTAGGTCATTCCATCCCCCAGCCAATGACTTGCTACAGCAAGAGTAACTCCAGCTAGCTGACGCTACGAGTAGCTTTCATGACATCAAAATCACCTTCCTTCTCTCAAAGTCTTGCTTTCAAAACCCGCACTAAACATCACAAAGAACTTTCATAATCCTGCCATCCAAGGTGCTGGTGAGCTCCCGGCCATGAAGCTCATCCACGGCATAGGTCGACTGCCGATCTGCCGGCAAGCGACTGTCTCCTTCGTATTCCTGGACGACTGAGCAAAAGAGGCACGGAGGACTCTTGGTCGGAAGGACCATTAAGGACCCCAAGTTATTGTCAGCGACCGCAGTGAATGAGGGGAAGACCAAGAAGCCAAACGAACACAAAAAGGATCAGCAGGGCAGGGTTGTGTGAGTGAGACTTCTGGCTGAGTTTCATCTTGGAGTATGTAGATGCAACAAGGTGACTAGGAGTTCACATTGTATCACCAGTGGCCTTTGTTTGCAAATGGTGCCTTTGCGCCCAAACTCAAGCGAAATATGACGCGGTCATACGCGGTCCCAAACGCCCAAACAACGTCTCTGGGTAATATGGACTATATAAACTCAAACCACAACATGTTGACTACACAAGTTGCCTTGACGAAAACAAATACGCAGGGGAGCTTCGTATACCTTTGCACAATCACCAAGCCCAAAAATGTTTCTCACAGAAGGCACTTGCCAATCAAAAACGAGCTCAACTGGTCTCATTGCGGCCTCTCGCATCCAGTCCGCCAAGAACACATCCCCCTCAACCCAAACGCCTTGCAAATTGTTGTCACGTTTGTTGTCTGAAGTATTGTACATGGGTGGTTGTATGTTGTATGCCCTCAGCGAACATCACCTGCGACAGAAGAAACATGAGAAACTCCGCTGCAACACCCGACAATTGTCTTATGCTGGTTCACCAGATGGAAGCTCGTCCTTATTCCAAGGAACGCAAATAAACAAGGTGGCAACAGTCCAGAAAAGTATTTGAACAAATGCCGGCTCACTTGCCCTAAACAGAAAGAGGGTTGCTCTGACTAAGGTAATATGATGTATATAAAATGAACATAGCGTACATGACGTTTAATTCGCACTGAAGAGGTCTTACAATGGCTTCTGTTGCAAGCTACAGCACAAAGAGTGTTATAAAGCACGGTAGCAAGTAAGTATTGGAACAAATCAGGCAATCAAGTCCTATCTATGTCGCCAAAGTAATGACATAAAACAAAACAACAAAAGGTACAATGCTTGCAACCTTGGCCCAGAATTACAGACCACAACACGGATGAACCCTCATTCACTCCTTCCTGACTAAAGTGTGGCCAGTCAAGAAGTGATTTGAAGTTGGGTCTGAAAGAGTTAGCACGTGAAAGCCTTAAAAGCTGGGACATATGCATGTCCGCGCATGTCCGCGCAAAGTACTTTAGCAATTTTGAACCGTTTGCGTTGATGCATGTGCACCTGTGCAAAACATTTGGCGAAACTCGCGGAAATAATTTCAATATGCAAGGCTACCAAAGCCTGCCCTAAAATATGTCCCTCAGATTCCCCATACTATGTCCACTATGTCTCTGACTTGAGTCCGGTGTCATACTGTTCTCAGGCTTTGGACACGGTTCACATGAATTTCTGGGGCTACCAGCCGATGAGCTGACCTGGCCCCGGCCCCGGCTCGGTCTCCTGGTACCCATCGCCGGCAATGACACCTCAGCCGGGCCACATCGAATGTCAAACGAATGTTGCGACAATCTAAAATTGCAGGCCGTCCAAGTGCTTCATTCATGGCCAACCGATGAAGGAAACTCAACCATTTGTGCAAGCATCGCTTTGTTCACCAATTCATGCTCCTGCTTGTGGCAAGACACGGCGAATAGTATGCTCCTTCAGCTTTTTCTTCTGGATCTCCAGCTGGATTTCCTTGGGAACTCTCTACATATCACGCACACCCCCCACAAAAAGGAACCAACGGAAACAAAGCGGAGATGTGCAGCTGACCCCCGAGTCACAGTCGGCGTGGTCACCAAGTCACTTCTGGCGACTGCTCTGGTCGTGTGTCTTGGACATGTTGCCGTGTTCGACCACGACGCTTGTTCTGGGGTGCCGAGAGGCCTGAGCCGAGCCGCTTCTGTCAGGACTTCTGAAAATGAGTCTGGGCACAAGAAAGACCACAGTGTCTTGGCAGGTTGTGGGGATTGCAGGCCCAGGTTTGCGTCCGAAGCACGTTCCAGAGTCTTCGCGAGCTTCGCCTGAGTGATGGGCATATGGACAACGACAGGCCTCAGTCAGTCCGACTTGAAAAAGGTTGTTGCAATGTCGGCGTGGCAACACGACAAGTCACAAAAAGAACGACGCCGATGCAAGTGTGTCTCTTATACACTTGCATCCCTACACATGTTCTTCCATGTTCTTCCAAGCAATGTCTATTTGATTACCACTCCCCACGTCCATCAGAAGTCTCATCCCCGCATGTCAGGTCAAGGGGGCTTCAGGATTAGGAGAACCTATTTCAGGGATCCTTAACCGTTTCTGACCGGGGCCTTTCCCCCTACCCAGCTTTCTTGGCAAGCAGAGATAAATGGTAAACCTTGTGCCATTTAAGACCTGTGACGATCTTTCTGGACTGCTCTCCTTTTCCACCTTGACCTCTTCCTTGGCAGAGACCCTCTTCTCAGTCAAAGCCATGAAGGACTTTACGAAGGCCTGGCGGCAAACCCGGCTCCATAGGGCCTCAACTGGGCCTCTTCACTTCAGCGGGTTTCTGCAAGGACAGTTTCTTCTTATGTATATATATTTCTGAGTTACACATGCGGCATGTGGAAATGATGCAACGCCTTCATGGACCTCTGACTGTTGTGCCCTCCTGCGTTTGTAAGGCTGCGTGGGTATGGAGCGTAGAATCACGAGGTGCATTCATGGAGTCGTCAGAACCTCAGGGACAGAAGCGCGCCCTGGGCAGGTGTGATGAACTTGACAGAAGCGCTTTGCTCCCAGCCGGCTTTGGGCATGGGACTCTTGGTCATTGTTGTGCTACCCCTTACTATCCCATACTAGCGATGTAAAAGCCTTGGTTGTTTCTGGTTTGATGAGCAGAGGGGGGGTGCTGATTGGGGAACAAGTAAGTTGCGGCCCCTGCAGAAGAACATAGAAGAACCTTCAATGCCAACTACTGGTATCAGGTAGCGTTGCTGCAGAAACAAGAGTAAAGTAGAAGTGCTTGGCTAATCCACGGCCACATCAGCATGATGCCCATCACTGATCACTTGCTTGAACAATCATGAACAAAGGAAGCAAACAAAGCATAAATAGTGAAATGTAGCATGGTGTTAAACTCCTTCTGTGCCCAAACTCGCATGGCATCTTAGAAAGACATGAGTTTGATGCTAAGTTGTATGGTTCCACGCCTGGCGATCGCAGCTCCTGCCAGAAAAATGGGATGTCGACGGTCCGATCTCCAGTCATGCACCACAAACATCCACCCTCGCCGTCCCTCGGCACTGTTACAACCAAATCCCTTGAGCTCATGTGGACTCATAGTCACCCTGTCCCCCTAGCCAAGACATCTGATTCCAAAGCCGAGATGTTTGCTTCCCAGGTTGGAGACCACTCGGAGAGGTTGGCCTGCGTTCGACGCCAGCTGTGCTCACCGGCCTTGGAACAAGCTCGACTCGATACATGAAACGACATGAAATCAGAAGTATATGTCGTGTGCCCGGATTGTGCTCTCGTGGAGGTGCCATCTGCGAGGCAGTTGTGTGAAAGTGCGCGTTGCGTAGGAAAGGCCATCACTGTGTCCGTGTCTCTTTGTGTGTGTGTGCGTGTCTGTCCCTCTCGCTCTGTCCATTGCCTCTCCCGCCCCCCACAACCATGCTGTCCATGGAAGCCGGAATCTGGGATGTCGGGCCGTCATCGCACCTCCCACTGTTTTGGGCTTTTTCTTCCGGCCGTGCTATGTAGCAAAGAAAGCACAAGGAGTAGGCTTGTTGACCAAGCATAAACCAAAACCCCTGCTAAAACACATTGCAATATCATGGAAGAAAGAAGTCGTGTCAGAACACAATCGTCACAATTGAAAAAGGCCAAAGAGGCTGCAGTTGCTTGTGCAGCTGGCTGGCCTCGCCAACCATCACTCCTGACCGTATCGGCAAAGCTAGGAGGACTCAGGATGTCTGCTGTGCTTGAACAAGGCTGCCCAAGCCAACCCTTACAAACTTCACCTAGATGTTCTACAAGAGCATGTCCCTGCCTTCCAGTATCTGTCAGCTTAGCCATACACTGACAGTCGTGTCCACGACACTTGGAGGGACTGTCTAACTTTGAAGAAAATTCTGGAAGAAAGGCATTATTGGGGTGCATCGGAGAGGGTTAGCCGGCTAGCCTTTTTTGATTGATTCATGGGTCGCTTTGTCTGTCTGGGGCTTGATCATCATGATAGATCCGAGTCTGCTCTCACCTTCAACAAAGTACCGTGGCCTCCATTGCACTTCATACATACCAAGGACGGATCGATGGATAGATATCTGACTTCTACATGTGGTATGTGTTTTTGATTGTGTGTGATGTATGAACTATTTCAGTATGTTTGGTTATATATAGTTTGTTTCCATCCCTCTCCATCCCTCTCCATCCCTCTCCATCCCTCTCCATCCCTCCCTCCCTCCCTCCCTCCCTCCCTCGCTCCCTCCCTCCTCTCTCCCTCCTCTCTCCCTCTCTCTCTCTCTCTCTTCGTGTGTGAATTCTCATTCCTCCACTCCTCTCAAGGCGATGCCGGGTCCGCGCGGAGACTTCGCTGCTCACGGGGCGCTCTGACTTCTTTGGGCCCGTGGCTGTAAAGCTCCACCAACCCAACCTGAGTCTCGTGGCACAGTCCTTCAGAGGGACGGGAGGGGGTCCGGTCCTCACTCAACAAGCGTGAAAGTCAAAAAAAAGATGTTTCCACAATTTCTTGAGGGACGATCTGGGAAAGCTTTGGTTTTGAGGTGGGTGTGAAGATTAAGGAAAAGCAATGGCCTCCAACCCAATAGCGACGGCCTCCAACCTAAGGAAAAGCTCTTCTGGACAAGTCGGTCTTCATGTTTTTGCATGTTGACACCAAGGCCCTGAAAGTCAATACCCGCCGCTTCCCCTGCGACGGGGCTAGGTCAAACAATCCTCGGCTGATCCTTAGCTACTATTACTGAATATGACTAAATCTACACCGGCAATAGATGCACATGGGTCCAGCCCAAAATTCGTTGAATTGTTTGAAATGATTGTTAAACTGCACCCTTTCAAGACTCCTACTGATACTGCCAATTGTGAGTGTGCCAAACGCCCATGTATTGCTAACAATAACCTGTCAAAAGCTTTCTCTTTAGTTTGATGGAAACCTCACAATTGAAGAATCAATACTTTGACAAATGATGCACACGAAATGAGAAAACTCGTCGGCTCAGTGCTTTTGCATTCATGTCTAAAAAGATGTTGATAAAGGATGTTTTTCGAAACTTGTCCTCTACTACTTCTCGGTGTTGAAGCGGCTCGCAGGAATCAGCTAGCCGGGGCACCTGTATTACCTTCAATGAACACACGTCACATGTTGACATGTCGTCCACCTAGAATTCATTGCTTAGCGTGAAATGTGTCACAAAACTCCGGGGCACTTTACATTATCCGCAGGATGAGGTCTGCGAATCTCTTGTGGTCAAAGCCATTCCCCTGAGCACTACATTACACATGCTCCCATGTCCAAAAGCACTCCAGAGTGAAGTGATGGAGCTTAGGAAGGTGGCTGCGGGACCCTTGAGGAATCCTGCACCACAGCAGGACCCTCAATGCCATCTGACGAGTTGCTCAGGGCTGAGATCTCCACGCCTCCGTGGCCAACGCATCAGGAGTGGACTGAAAAAACTTCTTGGCTTCAGTTCCCACTGAAGAAGCTGTCCCAGCAAAAAAGCAGAGACAAGGGGGCCTTCAAGGGGGTCAACAGTTGAAGTATGGTGAGATGCACCAACCGACCCTGCAACACAGAAAATTGCTGGGCTGGGTAGAAAATGAAAGAACGTGCCAGCATGTAGACTGCACAAAATTGAAAGTTGTTAGTTGTTAACTTCTTGATCTATATAAGTTCACGGTCCTCCAAGTGAGCACATGCCCTAATGCAAAGAGCACCTGTGACAATCTCCAGCCCAAAAAATATACACGCAGGATTGGGGGCTTCACCTTGCGGAATCACCAAACAATAAAGGCAACCCAAGGCAACCCATCCGAATGCCCTGCATCCTGAGGCATTCCTGGTAGGAGCTTTCCTCGCTGCTGATCTCGCAAGCTTGGCTCTTTTTGGGGCTTTGAAAGTCGCACCAGGTGCTAGACAGGGGATTGTGACCTCAATTTCTGCATGCTCACACCATTGGTTGCGCAGACATGCTGATCACAATCCGCACGCTCTCCTGTCATTTCAAGCGAAGTTTTGTGCAGTTCCTTTTGCAGTTTAGGCTGAGTCCCAACTGAAACATTTCAGGTTTGGGGGAGTATGCTACGCCCAGGCTCAGTGTTGATGTAGACCGAACAGTGGTGGATGCCCAAGAGATTTGTGGTCAAACCCTGCTATTATAAGAACAAGTACAACTCCCCCCAAACTGCAACCGTACAAAGTCCACGGAGGAAGGCTTCTTGAAACAAACCATGGCTCTTATTGATACGTAGCGCCATTAAGTGCAGCCACACTGTATTCACGTGCCATCTCAGTGGCAGAGTCGCTTGTTGTATATATACATAAGTATCGTTCGGTTATCGCCGCTCAGATGACCGCTACAACAGGACATTAACCAGATTGGACAGCTATATTGCTATATAAGAATAACCATGTTCAGGTTGTCGTTTAGTGCAGAGGGCAATGACTAGGTGCAACAGCAAAACCACTAGAATCGAGATGAGCTGCTGTCATTGCATTGAACGAACCGGCCCAAATAAACAAGCAAGAACTTCTAGAACGTATATATAGGTTCTGATTCCAGAAACCATTGCAGGAGGTGAAGGCGTCTTTAAAATGGAAGCGGTTCTTCTAAAACATTGGTACAACAACTGGATGGACTGGATGGAACAAAATTCCGGAAACTCCTGCAAGGTCCACGCTGGCCACGATCCCACCTACAAATCCTGCAGAAGTGGCATGGCACTGTCTCTTGACGGCCCTTTTTAAAACATAGTTTCGATACATGTTCGATACTGTAGAAGCTACCTTACAACAACCTGCCACGAATGAACAGGAGAACGCCATCTTTGATGCCAGTGATTAGTTCACTGCACCCACGGTCTATCACTCATCATCCCAAACTGGACTCGTTCAAAAGGCGAGTCTCTTGGCAAAATGCGGGACGAATCTCCAAGGCAGCGCCACATTGAAAGAACGCACAGCGAAGTGAGGAAAGAAATGGGTGTATATATGTACAGTATATATGCATATATACTAAAAAACAAGAATATGAAGCTGGATTCTAGGCAAAAGAGGCAAAGAATGTGGAAACATGTGGAAACGATGCGTCGACGTATCCGTACCTGATCCTATCCTTTTCAGAAGGCCACAAAGACAATGAAACTTGAGATAGGAGGGAGATGAACGAAAGGTAGCTGGCAGGTAAGCAGGGGTGTGTGTATGATAAGGAGCCGGCTTTGCATGTAGAAACTAGATGTGCTGTGCTGGACAA